AAAGTATCGATACATTACACACATGTGTCGATACATGACAGTATAATAGGTTGAAATTTGACAAATCAGATTTCAATTTGACAAAACCGGTTTAAATATGACAAAACTTGTTTCAATTTGACAAAACTAGTAAAGAGATACCAAAATTGTTCGAATTTGTATCGATGCTTTTATAAGTATATGTACAAAAGTATCGGTACTTTGAGAAATTTTAAAATTGTAATAATAGCGCCTATAAAGTATCGATACGTTAGACACATGTATCAATACATGATAATATAACATGTTGAAATTTAATAAGACTGATTTCAATTTGACAAAACCGGTAAAGAGATATCAGAATTGTTTAAAGCATATATAATGTTATAAGTATATATATCATATTATCGATACTTTAGGAATTGAAATGAATTGCAATAATAGCGCCTAGAAAGTATCGATACCTTAGACACATGTTTCGATAAATGACAATATAACAGGTTTCAATTTGACAAAATCAGTAAAGCTCTACCGGAATTGTTTAAAGTATCGATACGTTTATAAGTATATGTATTATATTATTGGTACTTTAAGAATTGAAAATAATTGCAATAAGAAAAATGTCTTGAAAGTATTGATACATTACACAAAAGTATTAACACTTGGAGAATGGTATCGATTAAATATTTTTTATGTACACATAATGCATTATTTTCATTTTAATGTACTCAAACATAACAAACAATAATTGTATATTTTAATATTTCTATCCACAATACAACATGTGACCTATACAGTAAAGATTACATTCTGATGGGGCACTGTAAAGAATCCATTATTCTTCTCGTCTTGTCTTTCATTTGTGTGACTGCTTTCTTTTTGTGACTCAACTCAGCTTTGAACCAGTATTGTGTGTGAGTCTTTCCCTACTTTTTGGTTGTTAATACATGTTACTTGAACAGTAGGAAACAATTAAGCATATTTCAATTTTAATTTGATCTCCACTATAAATAGGAGCATTTTGATTTTATAAATGGCATAGTTTCCATATTCATACTTACGTTTCTGTATCGATACCCATACTATAAGTATTTGTATTTTAAATTTGATGATTGTTGAAATATCGATACTAGTTATTAAAGTATTGTAACCTACTCCAACTATTGGAAATATTAATTTTGAAATATAAATTAAACAGTAAAATATATAAACTTAACCAGTTAAAATAAAATAGGCGCTACTATTACGTTAATCACCTACCAGTTTGTTTAAAGGTTACTAATAATGTAAACAGTAAAATAAAATAGACGTAAATGTCCAAGTACCAATACTTCTCATGCCCGTACCGATACTTTTATTCCAGTACGCTTCTCAAACAATTTGCACACAAAATGTATCGATACATATATATAAAATATTGATACTTGGAATTTTGAAACCTATTACTTTAAAGTAATAGGTTAATTAACAATGTAAACGGTAAAAGTCTACCGGTATAATGATAATAGGCCTATATAAAAGTATCAATACTTTTTAAAAGGTATGAATACTTTTATTCCAATATGTTTCTCAAACAATTTGCACGCCAAATGTATCGATACACATATATAGAGTATCAATACTTTTAAGTTCGAAACTTATTACTATAAGGTAATAGGTAAATTAACAATGTAAACGGTAAACGTCTACCAGTATAATGATAATAGGTATAAGTACCAAGTATCGATACTTTTATATAGATATGGATACTTTTATTCTATTATAGTACTTCTCAAACAATTTACATGAAAAAAGTATTGATACACATGTATAAAGTATCGATACTTGAAATTTTAAAACCTATTATTATAAAGTAATAGGTAAATCAACAATGTAAACGGTAAACTTTTACCGGTATAATGATAATAGGTATAAGTACCAAATATCGATACTTTTATATTGGTATGGATACTTTTATTCTAGTATTCTTCTCAAACAGTTTACACGCAAAATGTATCGATACATATGTATAGAATATCAATACTTGGATTTTCGAAATCGATTACAATAAAGTAATAGGTAAATTAACAATGTACATGGTAAATGTTTTTATCAATATAATGAAAATAGGCGTAAATATACAAGTATCGATACTGACATATAAGAATTGATACATATAATTTCAAAACCTATTACTTTAAAGTAATAGGTAAATTAACGATGTACACGGTACTATATTGATTTCTTTGAAAACAAATTAAGTAATTAACATATTTTGTTATTGTCGAATTTCTAAGGCCCCATCAGCTTTAAACAGACGCAGCATATTACATTAAATAAGTATTACTTGTTATGTTATTATGGTTGATAATGTTTCTAATAATTAACATATTTTGTTATAGTCTTATTTTAAAGGCTTTATCAGCTTAAACGTTGGTAACATTTTAGGCGCTACCTAATATGTTGATAATATTGATAACAAATTAAATAATTAACTTATTTTGTTCTCGTCGGATTTCTAAGGCCCCATCAGCTTTAAAAAACCACTATCTATTACGTTAAATAAAGTCTATCTGTTATGTTATTATAGTTTATAATGTTTCCAATAATTAATTTGTTTTGTTATCGTCGAATTTCTATGGCTCCATCAACTTAAACTTTGGTAACAATTTAGGCGCTACCTAATATGTTGATAATATTTATAATAAATTTTGTTATAATTAGATTTTTAAGGCCCCATCAGCTTTAAAAAGACGCTACCTACGTTAAATAAGCGCTACCTGCTATGTTATTATGATTGATAATGTTTTCATTAATTAACCTATTTGTTATCTTCGGATTTCTAAAGCTTCATCAACTTAAACTTTGATAACATTTTAGACGTTACCTAATATGTTGATAATATTGATAACAAATTAAGTAATTAACATATTTTGTTATCGTCAAATTTCTAAGGCTCCATCAGTTTTAAAAAGTCGCGACCTATTATGTTAAATAAGCATTACATGTTGTGTTATTATGGTTAATAAATGTTTCTAGTAATTAACCGGTTATGTTAAAATCAATTTGTTTTTTTGCATATTTTACATACAACAATGACATTGTGGATTATTATTATTATTATCATTATCATTATTACTAACACAATTAATATTTTCGGTGAAAATATATAACATTTACGGTAACACTTTTAATCAATTACGTTATTTTTTAATTATATTTTAATCGTTTCACAGCAAAACCCAGAGTCAAAGCAAAGCAAATATAAAGGAAGTAAGAACCTATGGGAGAAGAGGTCTAGAGTGAGAGAAAGAAGATAATAGCCGAAGGCTTGAATTTTGGTTTTATGATGGCAGTGGTGCAAGTAAAATATGAATATAATGATGATGGCTGCAAAAGTGAAGAGGAAAAGGAGAGCTTTTTCGAGATGTAGGTGGGAAGAATTGCATTAATGGTGGGTTGGTTCTTTTTTCTCAAGCTTAGCGTTTTATACTTCTTTCTCTGTGTAGCTGTATACTTGTAAAGAGTCAAATCAAATGTACACTTGTAAAGAGTCAAATCAAATGGGAAGAAAAGTCTTTAAGATACGTTTAGTTCATAGAATGTAAGATTATTAGTGGGAATAAAATATTACCAGAGAATATGATTACTAGGAATGTTATATTACTGTGTTTGATTGGTTTGGCAAGAATGTAAGATTACCGTGTTTGGTTGAAGGAATAAAAGATTACTGGAATGCATATTTTACCAAATTATCATTGTTCTATATTTTAACAAGTAAAATTCTAAATATTTAAATAAAAATTATTTATATAAAAATTCTATCCGTTGATAATATATTACTTGAGTATTTAAATATATCATGTATTATTTTAATTTTAATTAATATTAAATTTTACATAATTTATGATAAAAATATATTAAAAATATATTAATGTTTACATTGTGGTTGCGTTGGAGACGGCTTTGCTGCCATGCTTGCCCGCCAGGGAGCTTCAACCTATTGACCGTTCTCCCCACCCTTCTCATCAGAGTCAGTAGCTCTCACCCTCTCCTTAATTCCCAAAGCATTTTCATTTCTTTTTCTTCATATATATATAAAAAGATGATCTGCCATGTTCCTTCTATGATAGTCTTTTGATATTTGTTCTTATTCTGATGTTTGGTTATATATTTTATCACTGTTCAGAATCAAATAGATGTACTTGAATGAATGCAGTAACTTACTAACGTAATACCCATAATAGTTCAGATAAATTTAGTTAATATAAGCTTTTTGGATCAAATCCTTATGTTCTAAAATGGTGTTTTTATTTGCAATTTCCATAGTTGATCTGGAGAGGCATGCTAGAGATTTCATGGAGGCTGCCAATAAGATTTAGTTATACTTCCTTGGCTTGCAACGTGAGTATCAACCAACCAAAGCTGAAATGCTCAGAAAAGTAAACCCAACAACTTTTATTGTAGATGATTGTGGTGTATGATTAAGCCACTCCAAATAAGCCCAATTTGACTTGTTTCTTGTTCTAACAGGAGATTGCAATAGTGGAAGAAGAATTGAAAATGAAGTTCGAGATAATCAAGAATCAGGAGAGACTGATCCAAGGATGTAGAAAGGATTTGAGTGACCAACTGGTTAAACATAATACTGAACTGGAGAGAGTATAGCCTAGTAGAATTAAGCATTAATGACATGCTAAACTCTTGGATTATAGGTCGTTTGAGATTGATCAAACCTAGGGTCTAGCTTCACAACCAGTTGTGTTATTGTTTGGTAGTGACAATTGCATTATATTTGCTGCTTGTGTAACTGAAGAAAGTACAATTAATACAATCTCTATATATACTAAATTTAGTCGTTTGATTTATACTTACGTAATCTGATTAGTATCCGCAACAAATGTTAAAACATAGAGAATTTAATAATAATTCATAAACAGAAACAAGGAAAAACAATTTTGACATATTAAAAGTGGAGCTTGGAAACTTGTTGCAGTCTCCATCAATGACAGAAACAAGGAACCAATTGCAAAAATACATATACCATCTCCTTGTCATAAAAGGGAAAGCCCTGCATTCGCCTAAGAGCATTTGTAGCGGAGCTAACATCCTCGAAAATAACCCAAGCTTGACCTTTGTGTTTCAGTGTCTTCAATGCTAACACATCCAGTATCTTTCCGAATTGTGAGAACACAGCGTGCAACGACTTCTTCAACTCTGCAATCATCACTCGAGAAAAAAAAAAAGAAATCAAGGAAAAGAAAAGGATGTAAGCGTTTTTTTAAGTTTGTCGTCGAGACCAGTTTGCACTTGATTTCCTGTCTGGGATGAACCATTTACCTTCGCCAAATTTTGGACCGTCTCAAGGATGGTGGGGCCAGCGCCATCCCAAGACTAGCAGGAGCATCAACTTCTCTAGGGTTAATAAACCCAGTAACCTTGGCAACTTTGTTGGCGAGACTGGAAGGATCTGCACCCTCCAATTTATCAAAAATCATACCATCCTAACAGAAACAATCAAATGGTCAACCTTATTCATCTTACAAGAGTGTTTAAATAGAAAAATCGAATATTAACCAAACCTATACTTTAAGCAAATTATCAAAGGGCGATATTAAAGGAAGAACAACCACACAATTGGATTGTCCAGCCTTATCAGTATGAATATTTATTGCCTTTATTCAAGATGGAAAAATGCGTTCCTGGGCAAGTTTAGTTAAATACACTTCTCTACATTTTGAGGGAAATGATTGAATGAATCTAACAAGAGAAAATCTTCCTTTGTGTGTTCAGTGAAATACTCTCAGCCTAGGATTGTCAAATGCAATAACAAACAGCTAATGAATATATTCTTCAAGAAAATAAGTAATCAAGTAATCGAACTGACTTAGCAACTAGCATTCGAACATATACATTCATGGATTAAATCAACTTCAGTGTGAATATATTTATTCAATGGTCACTAGCACTAAATAAACAATAGTCTTCACACCAAATGCAAGTCTCATAACCTAGAAATCTCCAATGCAAGAAGAAACAACTAATCAAAATTGCCGACCTTGTTACCAACAAAATAAGTATCAGACAACAATATTCGGCAATTATTTTCACAAAATCTTTTGCTCTTTTTTTGACTTAATGGTCTAAAATACACTCAAGAATAAAATTGAATTTCGTGCTAGCGTTCACATATATAAAAGGTCATTGATCGGACCAGTATATACAAGCAGCGCTAAGAAATCAACCTTTAAAACTTACCCTATATTATCTACATCTAGAACAGCCATAAAACAGAGCAATATCATTCAACCATTAAAAATCAACACCACAACAAAAGCTCGATAAAGGTTACTTATTTATCAGTATATACAGATACTGAGAAATTGCCAACTCTAATTCAAAATTATAAAAGATTTAATCCCACCAATAAAGTATACTGAAAAAGAAAAATCATCCATAAAAAATATTTACCTTAAAGAAGACGAAGAAAGGCACAGCAGAAACCGAGTATTCCTCATATATCTCAGGCTGTTCTTCAGCTTCTACCTGCAAAACAATAATCATAACCCATCAAGCAAAAAAAATTCATGAAAGAAAGAAGAAAAACAACGAAAAAAAACCATTCAATCTCAAACAAGGAAATTCGAAGCTTAAAAAGGGAACAGAAGAGGAACCCTATGGAAGTGAGCGTTGGGGATATCAATGGAGAGATGGGAAAAGACTTTGTCCATTTACTTTGAAGCCTCACACCAATAAGCCCAGAAGTGAAGGATAAGCAGTGCACCACTATGGGTTCTTTCATAATCAAGAAATATGTTGAAAATAAAAACTGAAATATTAACGCTGTAAGCAAATATCTAAGCTAAATCGAAGAAGAAGAAGACGATTTCAACAGAACGAAGGGAAGGGGGAGAAGACTATTTTAGACAACGGGGACGAGAATGATTAAATACCTAAGGGAGAGGAGGATAGACATTCTCGAGAATGCACTAAAAAAATGTACCTGACACTTGGTAATATAACCTATCCAAACATGGGTATATTCATCCGGGAAGACAACATTCCTCCCAAGAAATAAATATATTATGAACTAAACGGGCCTTAAAGCTTTGCACAGTCAACCGTTGCATTCTTTTACATTGGTCATTAATGGTTTTTTCTTTTTGATAAATTGCCATTTGTGGCTTAGCTTCTTTCTTTCGTAGTTGGCTTCTTCTACAAGTTACAAAAACCATTGCATAACCTAAAAAATGATTTTTAATGGATAATAATATTTTACTAATTTAATAAATTTATTTCAATAATTATACTTACAAAACCAATGTTACATTTTATGAACTTGAGTTTTGAGGGAGGAGGAAGCTGTGTGTTCCATGGCTGATGATGGTCCCCATTGGACAGGAAAAACCCAAGAAACTCCCATGGCAAACTTTCATGTTCATCAATCTTCTTCCATCCATCATTTTAACTTTCCTTTGTTATTACGACAATGATGATACTTCTAACATTAGTTTCCGGGCTGTTTTCACATCATTTTTAAAATGTGACAAAATTGTATGGTTTTTAAATTATTTTTCGAAAACCTAATAATTAACAAATCTTGTATTTAAAATTAGAAATGTATGTATCATAAGATTTTTTTGAGATATTAAATTTAAAATTGTATTTTTATTTAATTTTATCATCATTTTGAATTGTATTAATTATAATTTTTATTTAAGAAATAAGAAAATTAAGAAGAGTAGTTTTAACCTAAACATAATTATTGTCAAAAGTAGGGGTGCTTAATGAGTTGAGCAACTCGTGAGCAGCTCGAACTCGACTCTTTTAAAGCTCGATAAAAACTCGACATGAGACTTTAACGAGTTGATTCGAGCAAAGTCCAACTCGACTTGATAAGTTCGCGAGCAGCTCGTTAATTTTTTTATATAATTTTTTCAGTAGTTATCTTAAAAACTTGTTTCATTCAAAAAAGTATTAATTTACTAATAGATAGTAAAAAAATTATGAATTGTTAATTTATTAATTTATTAATTTTTAATAAACAACAAAAAATATTAAATTATTAATTAGTATTTTACTACACTTAAAAATCAAACCATATTTATTATTTTAATGTATTTGTGGATTGTTATTTTGGAGTTTAGACCTTGAAATTATTTTATACATTCTTTTGATAATATTTTTGGTTAAATTTTTTATTTATGTTTATATTAAGCTTTGTATAGTATTAATAGATTTTTATCTATAATTAAGAAAATAAGATAAAAATTTTTGGTGAGCTTAACAAGCAACAAGTTTTTTTAACGAGCACGAGCCGACCAAGAATTTAACTAGTTTAACAAGCAACGAGTCGAGTCGAGCAACAAAATTTTTTAACGAGCATGAGTCGAGTATTGTCCAACTCGCGATCGACTCGCTCAATAAGTACCCCTAGTTAGAAGTATATGTTGCATTTATTTTTGTTTTTTGTTTTTTAAATATTTGTTCTTCACTTATAAGTATTGAATTTAGTAAATATTACTATAAGAACTATAAACAATAGTTTTCTATTTTCCTTGAACATGGTGACGCATGATCTTGTGTATTGCTTACAGATCACTACTGTGGGATATAAAAATCATTGAAGGAACGGTTCACATGGGATGGGCCCCAATCTTCAAGAGTCTAAGCTTTACTCTTTAGCTGCTGACCCGTGCGTGAGCCGAGCTGCTGGGTGGGGAATCCTGCCGTCAACCCTTTTATTCCGTCGGTGAACTGAACTGCTTCCAGAAACTTTTTGCTATTAAATATTAAAACCTTTGTCGATATTTATTTATGACTTGCCTGCCTTGGACATCCCCAATTACGCCTAAATTCTAAACTTATTTCTCAACTTCAAAATATTATAAGTCTAAATCATTATCAATATTAAATCCACACGTCACTTATAAATGTTGGATTAAAATCTATAACGATCAGCATATATATATATATATATATATATAATATTTTTACTATAGTGATTAATTATTTTATATGTATTATAAGTATTTAAGTGTCATAAAATTAAAGTATAAATATCATAAATTATATTTATAATTTGACGATGGATAAGATTATAAATACATAATAGATTGACTCAATATTCATTCTATATAAAAAGGTAGTAGTTCTCAAGAAATATATTATGTTGTATTAATTTCATCCCATATGAGAGGAGAAACACATATTTTATTGGAATATCAAAACCAAAAGAAATATCACAGATTTTATCATATTAATTAATTCAGGTACTTTTTTGTATCTAGTATTTTTTATTCTTAGTAATTTGATATTATAGATCTTAGATTCTTGATTTAATATCAATAAGATTTTGATTCTAACATTAAATTTTATTAAAAATATGAGTTATATTAAATTTGAGTTTTAAAAGTTTAAATTTGAGTTTTAAAAGTTTAATAAACATATTAATGAATGGGTGTTAAAATAGGATAACAAACTGTTAAATGTTAGAAGTGAAGCCATAGTCAAAGTTAATAAGAGTTATGTCGGAAATGAAACAAGATTGACGGGCAGTGTACGTCTCTACCATGTTTTTAGGGTCTTTAAAACAGTAATTTTACAGTTTCATGCGACTATTTAAAATAAAAATAATAATTAAATATAGAGTAAAAATATATAAAAGGTCATCGATTATGAGATATTATTTTATTAAATTTATTGACAATTAAAAGTTATAAAATAATTCCCGATTATAAGATGATGTTTTGTTTAGTCTCTCGACTATTAAAAGTTACAAATGATCACCCGACATTTTGATTGCTTGCTACTACTAGTTAAAAAGAGAAAAATTTATTAATGACGAGCCATATCAATTGCACCTATCAAAGCAACTAAAAGAATTATTGAAATGAATTCAAATGGAAGAAAAAAAATATGTTGCTAAATGAATTCCAATTTGTTGACTATTACTTATCAAATCTTGTTCTATAATTTGGTTCCTAGATTCATGGTGATATAGAACAACATATAAGTTATCATGCTCGCATATCCATCATTTGAGTCTCAAACAATTATTCCAATAATTACATATCTGATTTGACCTATGGACGAATATGCAAGCATACGTTTCATGCTTGTTTGAGTAATAGAAATGAGATTCCCCAATATCATGCTAAGAATAGCTAGGATTTCCAGAAAAAGATGTCATTCGTTTGATGAGAAACAAAAAGGAATATCAAAAATTCGAGTGGCTGAAGCCAAAGTGGTTACTTTTGAAGTAACAGAAAGAAAAACAACGACTGGAGTGGGAGAGTCGAAGTTACGTTATAAAGAATTGATTAGTGAGTTGGATATTAAGGAATCAAAAAATCGTTGATTTATTAGATTTTCATTTCGATGTACGTCTTTTCGTTTTCAACAATTCATGTAATAATGAATCGATGAAAAACTTATGAATCTATTAGCTACAGAAAAATACCTTATGATTGTCAATATGGGACCTCATCACCCATTCATTATGTTCCAAACTCATCATTTTCTGTTAAAAAAATAACAACAGTTCGAGTTGGATGTTAATCTATTTTTTGAGATATGATAGATGTTTGAGATTTTGATATAAGATTTTATCATATCTCAAACAACATATCCAGCCCAGATTGCCGTCAATAATTTAGCGAAAAAATGATGAATTTGGAACATAATGAATCGTTGTGTGACCATTTTGTAACTTTTAATAGTCAATGACTCAATAAAAAATATCGTAAAATTGAGGGATCATTTTTATATTTTACCCTTAAATATAATACTTAAATAATGTCAAAACCAGAGGAGGAATCGAAGAGAATCTTTTTTTTCTATTTGGTGTACGGAATTGAAGTACTTGTTTGTTTTGTTTCTCTTCAAACTTGTCAAAGAGGTTAAAAAGGTTTTCTCAAAGTCAAACAAATGATGCATTCTCGTTATGTTTCTTTATAGAATACACTATAACTATCGGATGTGGTGACATAACAAAAAATTTGTATTATTTTGAGTTGAAATTTTATTCTTTAATTTTATCAAGAGTTAATAATTGATTTTTTAAATAAATTTTATATCTAATCTTAATCCTATTTAGAGGAAGGAGAAGAGAAGTTATAGAGGGGAAATATTTTTAACGAGTCTAAAATATATGATGTGAAAAAAATATGAGGAAACATAGATAAAGATCTTGATCAACCGACTAAATATGTTTTCTCAAATTATAACATATTTATAAAATTAAAATATTATAAGTATTTAAATATATGAATCTATCAAAGAAATCAAAAAAATATTAATTATGAAAAAGTGATAGTAATGGAAAGTAAGAGTTTGAGTTCAATTTACTTTTCTATATGAAGGAGAGGAGAGTGTCAAAGGTATAATTTCCAAGGTATAGAAAAATAGTTATTTTTTTAGGGTAAAGTACACAAATAATCCTTTAATTATAGGGTGTAGTTTTTTAGACCATCGAATATTAAAAGTTACAAAATGATCACTTGATTATTCTTTATATTCCAAACTCGTCATTTTTCATTAAAAAATTGACGGTAGTCGAAATTGGATGTTAACATGATGACTGAGATATGATAGTCATTTGAGATTTTGAGATCATATTTTATCATATCATAGTCAGTAGGCTAACGCTTAGCCTAAAATACTATCCATTTTTTTTAACAAAGAATGAGAAGTTTGGAACAGAATAAATAATATGGTGATTATTTTTTAATTTTTAATAATCAAAGGATTTAATAAAACAATATCCTATAGTAGGGGGACTATTTGTATGATTTACCCTTCTTCTTATAAGAGATAAATTTTTATATATGTTGAGTCAATCAAGAGGATAAAATAGCTCAGAGGGG